ATTTTCTTCCATTCAACTTCCCATTCTTCAACTTCTACATACTCTCCCCGAAGCGGCTTGACGGTGATGGTCAATGGATGGTTCAAACATGCACCACCAGTGGCGGACATATTAAACCTTGGCTCTCCTAAAATGAGAAGAATTTGGTATCACTGATAAGTTAAGGGTTATGTGCCTTTACTTTTTATTTCTGGGACCAAGGTTTTATTCCCTTTATTCCTGCAATATACATTTTCTAAATATAATTTCACCTCAGTTGCATGTGAGCAGACAGATAGCATTACCCAGTATAAACAAAGTTAGTTTAGTTTAGAGTAACATACTGGAGTAATAAGAAATGATTCTACAAGACCTTTAAGGTGAACAATTTAGACCTGATAGAACTATCCAGCATAAATAAAGGTAATGGGTTAGTTATTAATATAAATAAAGTATAAATAAAAATAGTGTGTGGAGATTCACATTTGACTACAACCAAACTGCTACCATTAAACCAATCAAATGTGTTTAATCTTCCCTGATCAACCAATCAAATACTGATACTAAGCCACTGAATTAGGTAGCGGTCATGGAAGTCAAATCTGAACCTTTTCATTAAGCCATCCAAACATCTTACCAAAATGTCTAAGCATAACAGAGCGACTGAACAAAACCTTTGGTTTAGAAGATTTCCCTTCCTTAATATTGATAGTGTAATGCTTTACTTCGTTAACCGTGAAATCTTTAATAATCAGTGAGTGTGAATCACAGCCATGTGTCGTAATGTAGCTGTTAAAACGAAACCGAAATTTACCAACACTATATGGCAGTAACTGCAGGTTTGGATGGTCTTGGGTAGCTTGTTTTCCCACCAAATAAGTTCCTATTCCTTTGTCTCCTTTCTCCCAATAGATGTGGTAAGGTTTGCGATACTCTGTGAAAAAATAAATTTGGATTTACTATAGTAAGTGGGACTAGGAGTGTGTTAATCATCCTTAGCAGCTGAGAACTAAGCTGAATTATGAAGGACTCGACCTGATCGTATTAAAAGCTTTCTATAAGGGCACCTGTGACAGTCACCTAATAATTCATATCTGTTCACAGAGTACAGTAAATGGATAATTTTTATTGTATTGTAGGAGCATCAACAGTATAAGAACAAAACTTACGATATATGACATAGACAGAGTCTCGCCTTTCAGGAGTGTACAGACCAAGTTTCTCCCGCGCATCGACGTAATACGGCAGAGCCCAACTAGTGTAACACCCTTTTCGACGTGATGAAAAGATAAAGTAACGCTCGTTAGCGTAAAGTGCCAGCTGAAAACATTGTTTCTTGTTGGCTGCCTTGCCAAGTTTTTTGACATACATATAATCTCTAGGCATGAAATCAAGGAAACCGTACCATTCATATGCATAGGTTTCTGTGAAATAAATTAAAAATATGAGTTAGAAGTTAGCTAACTTATAAGTTGGTCGGTTAGTAAGTTCGTAGGTTAGTAAGTAGGAAAGTAGCTGTGCTCTCTGATTAAAAAAGTGATTAAGAGTTTTATACAACCGACCCCTGGTGCTCAACCAATCAATCAACCAATTGGCAAGGTGACCAAGGAAACTGAACAACTGACCAACCAATTAATCAACCAACTATTAGTTACCATGAGTGACAGTTGAAAAATCCTACTTACTATCAGGAAAGAACAGGAATGTAATTTTCGCAGTAACAGGTTCGTAGGCCCAAATTGTTCCATAAGGATCCAAAACTGGCGTTCCTCCTTGGTGAAGCAGACCTTGTTCCTGGACTGGAAGCAACAGACCCGGATGACCTGAAGACAATAATGAAATTATGATTAAATAAGAGACATAAGATAGTGTGTGGTACTGGTAGACAGGGTAAAGTTGTCTAGCACACACTGTGAGAGGAATGCCTGGATGGTCTAGATAATCCAATCATAGACCAGATGATCTTGACAGTGTTTGCTTGATAATAAATAATTTGGTGTTAGATGAAATAAAATAACAAACAAGGGAACATTAAGGTGCATATTGGTTAACAACAGACGTGACCAACAATACAGGTGTTCAGATTTGACTTCCACTACTGCTACCATTAACCAATCAAATGCACTTAATCTACCCGATCAACCAATCAGGTGCACTTAATCTACCCGATTAACCAATCAGATGCACTTAATCTACCCGATCAACCAATCAGATGCACTTAATCTACCCGATTAACCAATCAGATGCACTTAATCTACCTGATTAACCAACCCAATGTACATTGAGCCAGTGAGTGATTGCGGTGGTGGAAGTCAGAATGTTTTCATTTGTATTTGCAGCAAATAAATAGAAGTGAGAGACGTCATTTTCTTGACACAGAAGTGTCACCATTTCTGATGTTGATCACCAGCTGCTGTCTGGCTTACAAAGATGAAACAATACATGACCGACTTACCATATGTTGTAATGATATACAGTTGTGTGCTGATAATACGGTTCATTTGATCACGGGCAATACATTTATAGAACTTTGCTTCCTTTTGCTCTTCAAGTTTAAGCATGTTCTTTTTCAATTTCAGAGGAAACTCGTAACTTCCATGTACTTCATAGATTGTTTCTGTGCTCTTTACCTTTGTCTCATCAGAAAAACATTTGATTTGCATTGTTGTACCCTTATTCCATTTTGATACCACAACATGCCACAAGTTGAAGCTTATTCCTAAAAACAAAATAATTTCAAGACTGGTTATGAACGTTTATGTGCACATGGTTCAACAGACATTTGAATTAAAACAAGCTGCGATGGTTCTTGTTTAAAAACTAGGCAAGATTGGAAACATTTTTGACGTTATCCGCAAAAGGCCAGAAGGTTAGCTTTGGAAACCTCGTGAAGAAATACCTTCATTATTTTTAATATTTCTATGTGGTTCAGACACCAACCTTGGCAGCCATCACAGTCATGCTTGCAAAAGAAATACTTGAGACGCATGTGATTGGACTGTTGTATAGATTGAGAAATACAACAACACATGTAAAAATCTCACAACTTGTCAACAAGATGTGTTCGCAACAGGCTTGTAGCAAGCTTGTCAACAAGTTGTAACAATGCTGTTATTTTACCAAGTTGCTACTATACAAGGTTGTCACTCACAACTTGTTGACAAATTGTTGCATTGCAGGACGATAACAAGTTGTTGGAACAATTTGTAACAAGTCTGTTGAACTCAAAATCCTTGTAGCAAGTTGTCAACAAGTCGGTGACAACTTTTCAACAAGCTGGGAACAAGCAGTGCGAACACATCCTGTTGACAAGTTGTTGGAACAGCATTGCTACAAGTCTGCTGCAGGTTTGTTACAACTTGTGCGTTTTTACGTGTGTACCTGAAAAACATAAGCAGTTCTGCTAACAATATAAGCAATTCTGCTAATACTTTCCTGGTTGCTGTCTTGTTACCATCACTACCTACCAAGGGTGGATTTTCAGAGGGATTAAAGAGGGATTAAAAAGATTCTAGGGGGGGTTAACCCCTCCCCCCAGTAAATCCGCCCATGCTACCTACACTGGCATGGACTGGTCAAGATTACATGTTATTGGGCTGTATAATTGCAGGATCCCCTGAGTATTTTCATGAAATACACAACAACTCCGAATAAAGACAACATTTTTTATTCAATGTGTCAACTTTATTTAATCATCATCAGGTTATGATGACTAAATAAAGTTGAGAATTAAAAATGTTGACTTTATTCGGAGTTACCGTTGTTATGTATTGGGCTGTATGACATTACTTGAGTTGAGTAATACAGTAAGGCAGTACATTACTTTCAGCATCATCCTTGATCTTTTGTTGCGCTGCCAACCACGGTTCTAGAAGAAATTAAGAAAAAGAAACTCCGTTGATCTTTGCTGGTTTGAGAAATGAAAACAATCAGGGCATTTTGATATTTCGATGATGTTTTGCCCATGTTTGGAATACCTTTGGTACATCCTCGTACTTCAATTCTTAAACAAACATCATTCTTTCCTTTATGAGGAGTAATTCGTAAAAATCTGGCTCTGATTCGTGGGTTGAGCGGATGATGTGAGGTATGCTCCGGTCCAGTATTGGTTTGGAAATACTACAAAAGACAAGGAAAACATGCTTATATTTTGCTTGTGATGTTACTCTGAGTGTCATGCTAACTTTTCAGCTTGCTCGGTGTGGATGCACACTCAGAGTAACATCACAAACATCATATTCACCTGAGTACATAACACCAACACAGAAAAAATAATTATAATGGTTATATTTTCAGGGTGTCACCGATCAAAGTCCTTATGTAGGAATAAATGGTGTTTTTTTTCCAACGTGTTTCTCCTTAGATGCAAACAATGGTAGCTTGGTTTTGTACTTTCATTTCCAGTGAATGAACACTGAAAAATACACCCAATGGGGCGATGGCACTTCGTTTTGTATATATCATTTCCCGTGAATGAACACGGATGTACACCGATTACACTTTGTTTTGTACATTTCATTTCGGTGAATACACACCCAATATGAATGAAACGCGATACATTTTGAGAAAATAGTTAATGGGAAAAAGTAAATAAAACGTTCTTTGATATAATAATATAAAATCAAACGCAATGCACTTTTTCATCAGAAGAAATGAAAATCTTCCAGTAAACCCAGTTGGGAAAGGCCCTTAGCTACTTCAAATGGGAAGAGTCCGTCAAACGGACAGTATATGGGCTGGCTAGCTAACACCCTGATTTTGTTCAATATTTGAATAGATATAGGTTCACAACGTTTTCTCAGGCTGCTTCAGTCTCTTCCTATAGCAACAGTGAACCAATACGTCTTTATGGGAAATATGGGAAAGAGATATTTGATGTTAGATACTGTATACACTGAGAGTAACATCACAAACATCATATTCACCTGAGTACACAGCACCAACACAGAAAAAATTATGGGAAACAGTTCAAGCTGATACATATATTTATACTGGATAAGCTGGTTAAGCTATCCAGTATAAAAACATGAGTTTAATTAATTAAAGTCAACTATCTAATATATTACCCATTTCTCTGAATAGCGACTTTTAATCGGCAACCAGATGTGACGATCAGTGCTATAAAGGACTATGACATGCGATGCCCAACTGTTTCTAACAACTTCAGAATGACCTTTGAATTTTAGACTGTCGACAAGATGAATCTTCTTGAAATCAAGTTCTAAAAGAAACAAATAATATATATGTTCAATATGTATGTATATGTAGTTTGTGGTATTGAATTAAAGATGCTGTAAAGTGTAAAGTCCGTTCTGCGCATATATTCTGCGTATCAACACATTCCATCAGTGGGGGAGCAACCTTTGGAATGTTGTTAATATTTCGCACCTTGCGAACTTCCTTGAATTGAATCTCTAGTCTGCATTCATTTACAAGCATAGCGAACCGGAAGAGTGTTAAAAATTCAGTATAATATATATCTAATCATATTTTACAACTGTAGCACTGAGTTCAAAATGTAAACAAAGTGTTTGTTTACATTACGGACTTTACATCACCTTTAAGTCGTATATTATTATTATAATAATTTAATTTGAACGAAAACATTGGTGTTACCTCAAAAGGTTGCCACAACAGCCTGTTACTAGTTCTAGTGAAAAGATCATTAAGCCGTTTTTCACTTCAACCGTATTGTAACATATTGTATATAGCATGATGTTTGTGATGTTACTCTGAGTGTTCATCCACACCGCCACTTCCCACCGTGGCCAAGCTAACTTTTCAGCTTGTGGATGCACACTCAGAGTAACATCACAAACATCATATTCACCTGAGTACATAACACCAACACATACAAAATAATAATATCGTAGCATTTTCTTTTGTGTTGAAGTCATTAGTTCCACTCTAGCACTCAGGAAACAAAGAAATATGCTACGCTTCGGTGCAACACGGTTGAGGTGGAAAACAGCCGTAAGTCTGAACAAGCTTTCGTTGGTAAGGTGTAACTACCTGAAAATATATAAGGAGAATTGAGATATTTCGAGCGAAGGTCCTTCGTCTGAAGTTCCAGTAACTCCAGACAAAGGGGCTTCGCTCGAACCGTCTAAAATTCTCCTTATATATTTTCAAGTAGTTTTATCCTTAAGTCCTGGGAAAACTAGAAAACATTGTTTCCTGCCAATGTTTCGCCATGTTTCCCAGAGTGGGCAAACACTAGGAAACATTAGTGAGAAACATAGGGAAACATCAAATGTTTCTGAAGTTGGTAGGAAACATATTTGCTTCCCGGGAAGCAAATTTTGTTTCCGCAACAATGTTTAGACTACAGGTGGGCAAACAGGGAAACATTTGAGGAAACATCGAGAATTACAAATGTTTCCGCAACAATGTTTCCTAGTTTGCCCAAGGCTTTACCAACCAAAGCTTGTTAAGTTGATTGTCATTACCTACACTGGCAAAGTTCAAAACAATTCAAGATTAAGTCTAAACAACATCGTCAGAAACATACCCCAGTATTGTCTGGCTGAGTTAATGCAAAAAGTGTGACCAAATTCCATTATCACGTCATTGCAATCTAAATACAAGCAGAGCAATGTTTATGGTTACAACATTGTTCACAATTAAAGAAAGTGGCTACTCTCTCAAATATCAGCAGACACCAGGAG